GGGGGGGGAGGGGGAGGGTGGAGAAAAATGAATGTTTTGTTGGCTGGGTATGAAAAAGGGATAAATTTCTTGTCTTGACTTTAAGTAAGTAACAGCAAAATAATAACAGAATGATTATTTTCTACAACACTTGAGAATCTTGGAGACATATGTGCTCCCTCCAATGTTTTATTGGCTGGTTTTGGGTGTTTTGGACGGTTTTTATTTTTTTTTATTTTTTTTTCTTGAAGTCCATGGTGTTTGGTATGTATGATGAACTTCAATAAAAAAAAATGCTTTGGATGCAAAAAAAGCCAATCAAAAGTGATGAAAATAAGAAACACGCTTATCAAAAAAAAACACACAACATATGTAGGCTACCAGAGTGGCCCAGGACCACTTGCCCGGCGGGGGCCCCCAAAAAAATAAAAAATAAAATGTTCTTTTATTATTTTAAATTTGGTAAAGAATTGCGATGTGACCCTGAGGCAAACGTTGTTCAGTTGATGAGCGGACTGGTTACTAGACTCTAGTCAATCGAGTATGTGACAACTTGGACCAGTCCAGCAGCAGCGACACCACGGTGAGGGAGGTACCCAACAATTCATCAAGCAATACAGGTCTTATGGGGGGATGCACTTCACTTCAGTGAACGTTCCGTTGATGGAGCTCCACGGCCACTCCAACGCCCCAACGCAGCAGCAGGTACGTATTCTCAAACTCAATAGGCCACTTCTTCTTCAGCCTACCTTCCCCCCCCCTTCGTCAAACTTCTCCCCACTCAACTCTCTCTCTTAACACCCCTTCTCGCCGGCCTTAATCGTTGCCAGCGTTGTCCAGTGGATGCAGCGAGCTACTGCGCCGATACCAGTTTGCAACGAGCCTCTTAGTTCAACACCAGTGAGCGCACACATTCACACCACATGCATGTATGAGATCACACGAAGTTCGCACTGGAGGCCAGAGAGATGGAGACCAGGTAGCGCAGCTTTAGAATTCCAACAAATTAACATATAAACAATTAAGAGTTTCGGTCACAGGCGCTCAACAGTGCAACCCCAAGTATCCAGAATCTCCACTCAGGTATGTATCTTCCCCGAAGCTCTTCTCTCTTCTTCCTCTCCTGGTCTCCGTCTTCTACCTCCCTGTACCTCCCTATCTGCATGCACTCATACTCTC